TGGAAACAGAAAACCACAAGCTGAAAGTTAGTGTATATAAACAGATTATGGAAATAAATAGAATCGTGATGTCATGCTGAAAATAAGGTTAAGCCAGCATTAAACTATGGAAACAGAGAACCCAATCTAAAAACTTCAATTTGTTTCAAGAATTCATTACATTTCGTCACACCTCAAGTCTAGTTAATATACTCATTTCTGATTCAGTTTCGTTTACTATGAAGTTCGTTGTTTTATGACTTCTGTTTAAGTAATATATTAAATGTACTTCTGAAGTAGTTAACCAGAAATGCCAAAGTTATAGCACTTAAATAACCAGTGAAGTGTTACACCATTCAAACCATTTATTTGATCTTTCCTGGTTGTGACTGGACAACTTTTGAATTAAAGATCACCATTCATCAGATGTGGAAAATTTTTAAAGATAAAGTTTTAAATATTCAAGGTAAACATATTCCTTAACGTGTACATAAATACTTATTTCAGTATGTTCACACTGTACTCCATGTTAACAAATATTTCACTAAATGTAACAATTTAACACTTTAGCAACAAATATTTCAGTGAACAAAAATAGCAATACATTTTATAAACCAAATAAAAAAAACCTTTACCAATTTTGAAAACAAACATCTAAGGGGTAATATTTGATTTCAGTACATAATAACATAAAAATGATTTCTTCAAGAGAAAATAGATGGCTGTTTCCAATCACACGTACCTCAACTCGACCGCTTCGGATACAGTTAAGCAACTTCAAGTTCTCTTCCCTTTGACTTTCCTTTCTGTAAGAAAAGAAACAACTATAATTCATACTATTATAATTCCTAAACATATTACTGATATATTACTCATCTCTTAATTCTACAAATAAGCTTGTGTGTTTTTGTTTAATTTGTTAATCTGTCGGTATGACCTTGCTCTTCCTTTATCACACAGTGTTTATTTTATTCATAACCTGTTGGTTTAACCTTACATTCAGCTTGACATCATGATTCTGGATAGAGAAACATTACAAGACCACATGAGACTTCTATGTTTTGACCTTCTTCAGCAACACTTGTTCATTATTTATAAAATAAGGCTAAAGTAACATTTACAAGTAAGATCTTGACACCACTTCTATTTAACATACATCAATACATTACTTATAAAATAAGGCTAAAGTAACATTTACAAGTAAGATCTTGACACCACTTCTATTTAAGATACATCAATACATTACTTAGAAATCCTACTCTTAAATACTCAGCTGTAAAAATAGTGTACAATAATGTAATTTGTCAATTAACAAGAATTAATTTTAACTGTCTATCTGAAGCCTTTACTGAAAAATTCCACAATAAAACATTTAATATTAAAAACAAGGTACCAGCCATTTGTTTTCCACCTTATATTCACTTACATGGTAACTCAGATCTACCTATTGTGTCAAGAAAATTTCCAACAGAAAATAATCCATGCATTTTTGGACTTATTTATGACTTTCAGTTTTCACAACCTAAATATTAATGCACTAAATGAATTAGTTGATTCTGAAAGCAAGAACTATTACCACATACTTCCCAAGAACTGAAAAGTTATTATCTCAAAAAACTCAGTTCAAATTTTGACCTAATGCCTTTAGGAAATGGACGACAACAAGTTGTGCTAATGTTGAAATTAGGACAATCGGCCAAAATTATTGAAAGACTGAGAAAGAAGAACCTTAAAACAAATGTTAAAGAGTAACCACATGTCTGACTAAATCTATAACCCAAGAAATCAACAAGTGCACTATAACTGAGGTCAACGGGTACTGCACCTTCCTGGAGGAGCTGCTGATTACAAGCCTGGAACATCAAGACTAATGTATTGAACAGTGAAATGATGAACTGGGACACATTTTGTTTACAACCAATGAACAAGTCTGGATTTGGTGTCAACCAGTTTAATACTACACATATTACTGAGTTAGTCAAATGGTGAAAGATCACCGAGGAAGCGTAACGGTCTGATGCTAGTTTTCACAGTGTGGACTGGATCCTTTGGTTTTATCGAAGAGAAAGATGAATGATTAATTTTATTTTGGTAATTTGGAAAAAGTTACCAGCTCTGATGTAATACTACAGTGAAGGCTTAAGTCTGTCAGCATCAAAGTGCACTTTGCTGTACTGTTGTGTCTGTTAGGAACTGGTTCAAGGACAACAACATTGAAAATCTGCAGGGCTTCAAATTAAACCTGATTGAATCCACTCCCAGACATTTTAAAATGCCAATTGAGGTCTACTACTGAACTGTCAGTTACTCTGAAGGAGAAATGAAGAAATATTATCCGTGATATTTACCAAAATTTGGTACAAAGTGTTAGTGACAAGGTCTTAGCCATGATTGTTACCAAAGGTGAACCAACACTGTATTACAAATGAACTAAATGATTGTGAATTAATGACATGCCATATCTCCTTACTTTTAGTAATACTGTATATAAACTTTTTTTTTGCATAAATGAGCTCCTGCTGAAATTGGGGTCTGTCACAGAGCTAAAAGACTTTAATGTAGGTAAATTCAAACAATCGTTAATAGCAGCCGTTGGTTAATTTTTCTTAAAGAATCTGCTAACCTTTGTTCATTTTACTTTTAAAATTGAAAAAACAAGAACTTTACTATAATAATACACAAAAAATGACCTTGGCATGACATCTAACTTCCCATAAGAAGGAAGTAACCATATGGATTTGGTTTGTTTTGAATTTCGTGCGAGCCATATGGAATACTAGAAATATATATACCTGAATAGGGAATTCAGATAGAAACCTTACCTGTTCTTCTTCATCTAAAGGACCAAACCATGAAACTTGTTTGATCTGGTTCCTAACCGCTGGTACCTCACTGTGAAACTTTTTGTGTCTCTCACTGAGTATTGTCTCGCTGTAGACCCCCAGCAAGTGTGTCTGTCAAGTATGATACAAATACATTAAAAGTGTTATAAATATTGCAAGAAAATAATAATAATTTACACTCTTAAGTTTGGAATGAAATTATTCTAAATTATCCACTGTAGTAAGGCACTCTTCATATCTCAACAACTCTAAGTACTTTTGATAGTATGTTAGAAATAATTCAGAATTTGAACTCACTCATATTTCAGTATCTCTTAATATCTGAAAAAACTTACACTTTTAATATAAACAATAGTAGTAAGTGTACCAGTAACAAAGCTAACACATAAATATGTAGGAGTAGCCATAAGTAAGGTCGTGTACAATTATAGTTTCTGGAGTAGCTTGTTGATAATTAATAAACAACAGATTCTCTTTTCAATTTCACGTCTGGTGAAAAAGAACAGAAATCTTTAACACACACATATATATACAATCATTAAACAGTTGGTTTGCTGTATAATAATGAATTAAACAAAATGTCATGAATTAATTTAGATTACTATATGGTGAGGTGAAACAGACTCAAAACCCCCATAGAAAAAAACAATAATTCTAAAATAACCCACAGTTGACATGGAAATGCCAACTGTGATTGAAGTTATGCCAACACTCATATCCCCCTCCCATCTGGCACTCAATAATCATTCCTCATTGAAGGTTATAAACCACATGCACCTTTGCAGTGTTTGAAAAATATTCAAATACAGGTTGGGAGGGCTTATTTCAAGTTTGAGTTTGCTGTTGTAGGATTTTTGGTAATATAGTGCATAATGATACTAGTTACTTCATTCATGGAAGACTATTTATCTTCTTGTGATGTTCCAGCCATGGTATGTTCACAAGTAACACATTATTTATCTCCTCATGATGTTCCAGCCATGGTGTGCTCACAAGTAACACACTATTTATCTCCTCGTGATGTTCCAGCCATGGTATGTTCACAAGTAACACACTATTTATCTCCTCATGATGTTCCAGCCATGGTATGTTCACAAGTAACACACTATTTATCTCCTCATGATGTTCCAGCA